ATCATTCTAATGGAGTGGTGGACCCAAGAGCCACATCTGTGCTACCGAAATGACAGAATTCGTGTAGTATCAAATTGTCCCGCAGGAGCTCCAGCACCTAACGACGTCTAAGGAAAGTGTGAAACTCCCTCCGCCACCCGAAGGACGGTCACAGCAATTAATCAAAAAGCAAAACCACAGGCTCACCCCTCCCCCCATTCAAGTTAAGCAGTCTTCATTTTCCATCCTAGTACGTTTTCTAGATACGTCTTGTAGAACTCAAAATACTGGAAAGGAAGCTCTCATTAAAGGACAATTTACCTTAAGATACTGTGAAAGATGTTGATCTTGTCCATTTGAAGTATATGTTGTGCTATAATGAAAATAGCACTCCTTACCTAATTTCATTTTGAGCTATGCAATTACAGATAAACACAAAGTCTTGTTTAGATGCTATATGTCTTAAGTACTTCCCTAATACTTGGTAAAGAACCCCCTTTTTATTTTAAGTGAAGATTAAATTCAGTCAGGTGGGCACACTTGGTTAAGTATATGATTATGTAACCACTCTGCTGTATACCTGAAACTAATATAGAATAGTATTGAATGTGAACTGTAATAGAAAACAATTGCCATTTATATTTTAAAATAGTAGTAAAGAGTCCCCATGAACAACAACAAAAAAGAGTAAACCCAGAAACTCAAAAGGTCAAAGATTTCAGTTGGAATATGGCAACCCTATTTTATTTTTCTTGTGTTCATTTTAGTTAATCCTTTTATTTATGGTTAGTGACACATATAGTTTCTTTTTCAAATAAATTATTTATACAAATTGAGTCAATATTAAAAAAGCATGGTAAGCAGTTAAGAGCTAGGTGAGACAAGGTCATGGCAAAATTATGGACGTGGTAAAGCAACGACTGAAGTTTAACAAACAAGAGTGCTGTACTCCAAATGAGAGCATCTGGGATTGACTCCCCGCTGTACCACCTACTAGCTCTGTGACCTTGGGAGGTTCACCTAACCTCTTAGAGCCTTAGTTTTCTCATCTGTAAAGTAGGAGCAAGGACATTACCATCTACGCAAGCTCGTGAGAATCTGATGAAGGAATGTGTAAATATAGACTTCATATTACCATCTAGTGAAGTTGCAGAGAGGCTACACTGCTCAGTGTTACATGTGTTGGGAGGAGGAAGGAGACTTGCCAACATTAACAAAATACTCATTACTGGCAAAGTGCTATGTATTTTTGAGGATAGAATGAGGACTAAAATTTGGCCTCTGCCATTAGTGTTTCATTTGTTTACAGGTGAAACAAACACATAGAGGCATGTTATTTGGTAGATTATGAGAAACTGTAAATGGGTTTAAAACCTTAGGCAAAGGAAATCAGAAGAAGTTGATTACATGAGTATACGAAATAAGAATAGCTATCATTTCCTGGGGCCAGGGAACCTGCTGGGTTCTTTGTCACATTAATTCATTTATTCCTCACGGTTTGGGAACTGAGATCAGAGAGGCTAAGCAATTGTCCCATTGTTAGAATGGCCATGATATTTATGATGAAATATTTAGTATATGCCCAGCACTGTGGTAAATCCTTTTATAAGTATTACCTCATTTCAGCCTTGCCACAAGTCTATGAGATAAGTATCATCTCCCTTTTCAGATAAGCAAACAAAGGCTGGCAGAGGTGAAGAGCTTGCAGACTTTGTAAATGGTGCAATTGCAATCTAATCCCAGGGGTGTTTGACTCCAAAACCCATTTCTTCTGGTCGTCCAGCTTTGAAACGGCAGCTGAGCTGCATGGCCCCAATGTGGCTGTGCACAGGGGGAAGGCCCTTTGTGTGTTCTTTTGTGAAATGCTAGGTTCCATGGGTTCTCCCATGGAGAACCCAATGCTAGAGCTAGTGGGTTCTCCAAATGCTAGAGAACCCACTGGGGTTCTCTAAGTTGACCTATGTCACAACTCTTCTTTCTGCTTCAGAACATAAGCTCCTAAACTCCTAAACACAAACTCCTGGGACCCTGTGAGTGGCCAACATCACTCCATGACACCATAAGGTATTGTTGGTAAAGACATTTCAAAAGTAGGCAAATAAATTGGGTGATAAGGCAAGGTTTTTGTGGAGGCTAGAAGCTGTATTTCCTGTGGGAACTTACAGGATCAATTCTTGATAGACACAAAGGGACCTTTGGAGATGTACTAAATTCAATTTCATTTTAGAAAGAGAAGAGTTTAGGGGCCAAACATTCCATAGCAGGCAGCAGAATCAAGGGTCCACCAGCTCCCATGTCTCAATGCTCATTTCACTAGAGCAGTGGCTTTTAAAGTGTGGTCTCCAGATCAGCAGCCACAGCATTACCTGGAAGCTTGTTAGAAATGTCCACCTTAGACCCACAGAATCAGAAACTCAACAAGGGGGTTGCACTCACCAATCCATTTTAACAAGCCTGTGGAGTGATTCTGAGGCAAGCTCAGGTTTGAGAACCAGCACAAAGTATCTGCTATATATTCCAGGGCATCTGGCAGGAAGAAGAGGAGAGATTACACTCCTCCCACCCCATCTTTGCTCTCAGGTGAAGGGCTGAAAGGGGTCAATTTAGCAACCTCTTGAGATCTACACAGGCTCAGATATTTTAGAGAGTGGGATGAGCCTGTGGAATTAATGCTGCCCTGGCATCAGTGACTTATGAGCATTTCCAGGTAGCCAGACACTAGATGCTGCCTGGCTGTCTGTGTGTGGAGGAAAAGGGCTGCCAGAGGTGGGGAAAGGATACTGTGCCGGGCTCTTCCCTCCCACCCCCAGCCTCCTAACACAGAGCAGCCAGGAGTATGGAGAAGGCTCTTCTGCACGCTGTCCTTCCCTACCTGCCAGCTGTGGCTGGTGGCACTCAGAATCTGCAATGGATTTCCCAAAGGCAGGAAGCCCGTGGAAGATGTGCAGAGAAGGGGAGCTGGTGGAAAGCAAAGGTTTATGTAAGGCATCTGTGTTCTTGTGCTGGATTAAAAAAAAAACCCACTTTATCCTGAAGGGACACTAATATCTGAGGTGAAATAATAGAAATTGATTGGCAGTTTAGCAGTATCTCTGGCAGCTGTGAGGATGGGCTGACGGAGCCAGAGACTAATGAATGGGACGGCAGTTATTACAGTAGTCCCAGTGGGACGTGAAGGCTGTGTGGGGTTGGAACTGATTGATTTAAGATTATATGAATTTGGCTGTGTAGGGAAGGGGAGGGAGGAGCTAGCTCCCATTGCGACTTGAAGAGTTGTAAGTGTTGTGTCAACAGCGTAGCCCGGACATCCTGGAATCAGTCGGTTATAAGATCCTGAGCGCAGGTGAGTGGTCATCCCTTCCTTTCTTTTGTCCCAAGGAGCCTGGGCTTTGGAGTCAGGCAGTCGAGGGATAAAAAGGCCCGCTGGAATGTGGCTTCCACCAGGGCAGGATTCCATCTCTGGTTCACAGCTACATGCCAAGTGCCTGTGTCCAGCACACATTAGGCATCCAATAAACGTTCCTTGAGTGAATGAATCAATGAATGAAATGAATGGCCGCACTCCAGGTCTCCTTTCCCCACTTGCGAAAACCTTACCAGGAACGGTCGTTGCGTAAGAAAATCACCTCGCCCCCAACGTGCCGCACAGTAGGCGCTCAGTAAGTTGTGTTTCTCTTTCCCTTGAGCGGTAGATCGGGTCCCCAGGAGACCACAAAAACGGGTTTTCTGTCCCTTGAGTCTTCGCTACCTCCCTGGGCCCCGCGGCCTCTACTGGGTCTGGGGAGCTTGTGGGCCGGGGAGGCGTGGGGCAGAGCGCGGGCAGGGGAGTGGAGCGGCTGGGCCGGCGTCTCGCGCGGGGCCGGTCTCCTCGGCTTACGTAAGGCGCGAGCCCCGCGAGGCCGGCCGTGACCCGGGGTGGCGCCGCCCAGCGGGATCCTGGCTGCAGGCCTGTCCGGGCGAGCGCTGCGTCCCAGCGAAGGTGTGTGTTTGTGGGATTGCTTCGGTGGGGAGGCGCCGGACCCCTGCTCCTCGCGGCCCGCCCGCGGGGAAGCGTGTCCGTCAACCCCGGGCGGAGGTGGTCACTGGGTCCTGTGTGCAGGCGGCACGGCATCCGCTGCGACTTCGTGGGATGTGACAGCCGCCCGAGAGGAGCGGAGGCGCGGACTGGACGCTGCCCACGTGCGAGGACTCGGGCAGGGGGCAGCCCCCCGGCGCCCACCGGGCTTCCGCACTGTGCGGGCGGGCGCGGGGATGCCGGACCCCCGACCCGGTCCTCGGCGCGTGGTGCGGAGCAAGGCGGAGGGAGGGATCCAGGTGGGACCGGCGGCTGGCCGGTCTCTGAGCCCCGAAGGCGAGGGCGGACCGTGTCAGGGGCGGGGTCGCGGACTTCTCGGTGCTCGCAGGCGTGGGCGGGGAGGGCGGGGAGGTGTAGCGTGGCGCCTCACTCCGCCTTCCAGCCTCCAGGCTGAGGGGAGGGGCGGTCTCAAAAGTGTCTCCTTCCCCTGCAGGGGCGGCCGACGAGTCCGGGAGCGAGCGTAGGGTGTCGGAGGCAGGGGCCGAAGGAGCAAAGTTCCCGGGGCTTCTCGGAGGCCGCTGTCCGGGTTGCCCGTGCGGCTGCCCCACTCCTCGAGAAGGCAATGGCTTCCAAACTCCTGCGCGCGGTCATCCTCGGGCCGCCCGGCTCTGGCAAGGGCACCGTGTGCCAGAGGATCGCCCAGAACTTTGGCCTCCAGCATCTCTCCAGCGGCCACTTCTTGCGGGAGAACATCAAAGCCGACACGGGTGAGGGGGTGCGGGGGGGTGCGGGGGAGAGGGGCGGGTGTGAACGGAAGAGGCATCTTCCAGTTAGGCCGGGCAGACGAATGGCCGGAGAGGGGCCAGGTCTCCCCGGCCCGCGGGCGCTCTTCCCCCGCCCGCCCGCGGTCGGTGCAGGCTTCTACGTGCCAGGGCGCATGCAGGCGGTGGGCCTCGGCAGCGCGCCGGGTGAGAAGGCCGAGGCGCGCAGGGAGGAGGGTGGAAGGTGCGCGCCGCTCCTCTCTCTGCCCAGGCGCCTGGGGGAAAAGCCCGTAACCGCCAGCTGGGAGAGCGAGGACCAGGTAGCTGGCAACGCCGAGCCCCGATCTGGTCCTGCTTCCTTAAGGCAAGATCGCCCCCTCCGCCGCACCTCCGGCCCATCCCGGCCCCCCTCAGTCGCGCCCAGGCCCCCCAGGCCTCGCGCGCCGCCCACCTGTGGGAGTCCGCCCCGCTGCGACGGGGAACCTGTGGCGCCCTAGTGATGGGAACCGTGCGCCGTTCCAGCCCCTCCGAGTCCCCTGGGGCCTCCAGACGGAGCCCTGGGTGGCTCTGAAAAGCCTGTCTGTTCCTTGTCGTCTTCTAAGGTAAATTGTCACCACGAAGTCCCCTCCTCTCCAAGCCTGGGCCTGGCGGCTAGGAGACTCGATCTGATAAATTCCACCTTGAATCCAGGTTCCACGGAACTGGCTTTTTAAGAAGGCCTCCCCTGGCTTGCACAATGAATTTGGGGATGTAGATGGCCTGATCTCTTGGGGTTTCGGAATGGCCCTGCTGTCTGCCTCTTCTTCCGCCCCACATCCACACCAGCTCATTAACTGGCATTAAAGGGAGCGAGGCGGCTGTTGTGCCGCTGTGAGGTGCCTAACCCGCCAGGGATGCCGCTGCTCATAATTAGCAACTCCTTTATGAAAACTTGCTACTGCAACGGGGTATTTGACAGTCGCCTCTCTTCTCGTTGCCCAAGGTCGTTATTACCCAGGGATCTTCATTACAGAAGCACACGTTCGTTTGAAGAGGTGGGTGGAGGGCTGTGCTGGAAAGCAGGCTCGAAAATGGGGAATTAAGAGTCTCAAAGGCTGAGTTTTCTTATCTCTTAAGCAGGTAATAAAGACAAGTTTTTATTATTTTTTTAAAGATTTTATTTATTTATTTGTAGGGAGAGGGGAAGGGAGGGACAAAGTGAGGGAGAGAAGCATTGATACTCGTTTCTGGTAAGCGCCCGGGTGGGGGCCCTAAACCGCAACCTACGTGTGTGACGACAGGAAATCCACCAGCGACCCTGAGACCCTCCCTGGTGCGTTGTGCGGGAGGACTCCGGGCCATCTGAGCCACACCGGTCAGGACTAAAAGCAGATTCTTACTTTGATTTTCAACAATTCTCCCGGGGGGGGGGCACCATGCCCATCTCTCAAAAGGAACAGTTCTGTGTACCAGGTTACAGCTTGAATTTTCGGGGGGGGGGCGAGGGGTATTACATCAATTATTAGGTTAACTTTAATGCCACATTAAAATGCATTTTATTCTTTCAGTATTTGGGATGGTTCTTCTCAGTTTTCAGGGAGAGGGGAAGGCTGGTTCGCCACCAACAGGTTTTGTGATAAGGCGGGGCTTGTCCGTGGTGGGGAAGTGGAGGCTGAGTGAGGGCAGGAAGTGATAGCGCGGGATTGAGCCCGTTTCTTAGCATTTCTCCATACCTGACTTCGTGACTTGTTTCCCTCTGGCGTGAAGGGCCTCGCACTGTCCGTCCTGGGGCTGGATTAGTGGCCCTTTCCATTTTATAAGAGAATATGATGGGAAGTGGTGTATTTCTACTGTTAGAGGTTTGAAATTTTTCAGCTTGCTCTTTTCCCTGATTCTCATTTTTTTGTTTCATTTTAACTTTCCCTTGTTCTGCATTTTAATTTTCATTCTCTTTCAGATACCTTTAAACTCCCTCCCTTCATCCCCTTAACTCCCTAGTATTTCTCCCTGGAGTAAGAAATGACTGAAATGTTTAGATTACCCCCCCCCCCCGTCTCCCCCCCCCCGTTGGGAATCAAGTGTGTTTTTTTTTCATGAACCTGTTTAGAGAAGCAGAAAAATAAAGGATAGCAATTTGTTTCCAAAGTGGCTTGTTTCTAGTGGACTTGGAGGGTGTTCTCAGATTATTTTTCTCTCTCAGAAGGCTTAAGAGTCTTACAGGCTTACTGCCTAGTAAATAAAACATTCCACAGTATTTATTTCTCTGTTACCTGCTGTTTGTCTTTAGCCAGCTTCCTGGTAGAGAAGCACAACAACCCCTGTGTATATGCCCCCTTTATAGTCGAAGGTTTGAAGGACACGATGAAACACAACAAAACCCCAGGAAATAAAACCTTGGTAGGAATTTGAATTGGAAAGTAGCTCAGGCCATCTGTTCCAGCTTTGATTAGGGCACACCGCTGTCCACAGGGCTTACCCCCACACAGACTCTGCCTGGTGAAACCTGCTCCTTCAGGGAAGGTCTCCTCATTGCTTTTGGGGAATCTTCCTTCCCTACCTGTGCTGGCAGAATTTGTCTTTCTTTTGCATGTAGCTTGTTGGTTCAGTTGCTTCTGTCACATACAGTTACAGTGAAGTGCAGCAAATGTCTGTCTGATTCATCCAAGAGATATTTACTGAGTACCTGCTATGTGTCGGTCTCCTAGGTGTTGGGAACTATATCAAAATTTAAGATTATCTCGTGCCCCGTGTCCCTTCTGCTTTCACCATGTTCCAGTTTCCACTGAGAGACATTGAGGAGAGTCATTTAACGGAGTCACTGATGCATACGAGGAGCTCAGCAAGTCTGTGTTGAAGGCATGGGTCAGGCGTTCGATCTGTACCTTCCCCAGAAGGAGTCAGGCAGCATCCAGTGATCAAACCCATTGTGTTTAATTAGCTTGGCTTTATGGTAAAAGTTTGTACTTACGATCTTGGGGGGGGGGGTAGAAAAATTTTTCTCTATCCTTTGTCAGAAAAATTTTAACTGTGTTAATTTGAACATCTGATTGGCTTTATTAAATATTCACAAATGGGGCAACATCCCATCTAGCCCCTAGCAGGGTGTTTAGGGCTTTATAAAATGGAAGGTTTTTATAGTAAGAAGGTTTGAGCAAAGGAGCCATTAATAAAAGGAAAAAGATGATTTTGGGGCCAGGTCATCATTTTTTTTTGAAGGGGGTGGGGAGTGGGGAGAATGAGAAGGGTTTTTATTATGCACATTTTCCTTTTTTATTCCTATATTGTTCTTTATTTAAAAGAGAAAGATTTTTTTTAAAGTTCATTTTCCAGTTACAGTTGACATATGATATATATTAGTTTCAGGTGTACAACAACATAGTGATTAGACATTTATATATACCTTAGGAACTGATTACCCTGGTAAATCTTGTACCCATGTAACCCCATACACAATTATTACAATATCATTGAATGTATTGCCTATGCTGTACTTTATATCTCTGCGATTGTTTGTATAACTGAGATGCGTCTTCTTTCTCTGGGGATAGATAGGGCCCATGTGACAGGTTACCTTATTGGTGTTGACCAGAAAAGTCCAGACTGGTTAATTATGTTTACAGAGAGGAGGAAAATGTATTTAGACCAGGTGTTGAGTCTAGGTTTGGTATCAGGGGCTGTTAGCACCAGCGATGCTATTTTGGGCCTGCGGTTTCCTCTGTAACACCTTCAGGGTACTTCTGGCCGGCCTAATAATGAAATTGACACGAGGCAGATTAGCAGGAAAGAAATAAAAGTTGAATAACATATATGCTTACCTTCTACGAACATGGGGGAAACTCGGGAAAACTGAGCAGCTTGCCAAAATGGCAGAAGTCATCCCCTTAAATATTACCTCAGCTAAAGACAAAAGAGGTTGGAAATGGAGAGTCAGTTTATAGGAGGTTACTGGGAAAAGCACAATAAACAAGGATAAAATTGTTACGTAGTTTTAAGTCCAACCCTTCTCCATTGACAGTGAAGGCAGGCCTGGTACACTGGTCCAATGAGGGAAACACCTTCACAAATAGAGATTTCCCTTATAAATGTAATTAGTTTTTACAAGGGATAACTTCTCCTTGGTTTTCTGTTTTTTCCCCTATCTGCTTATTTTAGACTGGTTCATTTCTTAAAATGAACCAGTCTAAAATAATCACTATCCCAGAGAGGCATATTTTGAGGTGGCAATTTCCACTCCCCTTCAGTCCCATCTTTGAAACCCCAAGAAGTTTCCCATTCCAGAAGGAATGTTGATAGATTATTCTAGATTTTATTTAACTAGCCTCAGTCTTGAGAATGGGTCAGTTCACTCAGGCAGTTGAGTCTCATTTCAGGATGTGGGCTTGCAGTGAGCTCCAAACATTAGGCCTCTATTGAGCAAGGTAATTAATAAAAGGCATTTCGTATGGAGACCAAAAAGAAGGTTAATGATTGGAGCACATTATAAATCCGTTTCTGAGCCACTGAAGATTTCTAGATGTCAGTCTCAGGGTTCTTTTGCATGTCGAAACATCTCTGATGTCGTCAGTGTTAAACTGATCCCATGACCAGGTTGTGAAAGAATTCACAAAGAGAAGAAAGTGTAGAGGATAAAGTTTTTATTCACTCTCCAAGGAAGGAGAGGGGCCAGGTGTGGAGAGAAACACCAGCCCTGAGGGGTGGGGGAGCTTTGAGCTTTTATTGGATTATAATTGGATTAAAAAAGGGTGCAGGGGGTGTTGCTGTTGTGTGACCCCTGGGCTGTTTTGTGTTGTAACCTGAGGCTGCAGTTTGTTTCCATGTTATCATCTCCCTGTGGCTGTAGGGAGCAGTTAGTTCTCTTTTAGCTTTCAGCAATTTCCAGTCCTGGGGACAGCCTCAGAAGAGTGAAATGGTAGCCATGTATAAACAGGTCATAGACCTGCTAGGCAAACAGTGCCACAATTGCAAATGGGGCTGACTTGGTCCTTTCAATCAGGTGTCCAGGCAAATGTTTTTAGTGGTTTATGCCAGGTCCGGAGGTTGATTAAGCATGAGCTATTGTGGCAAATTTTGGAGATTTCTCTTGTTTGTATCAAATCGTCTTGTTGCAGTTTACAGGGCTTCTGGAAAAAGGACAATTACAGTTCTTAGTGGTTCCAAGTAAAAGGATGAGAGAAAATTTTCAAACATTAGTTTGCAGAGCTCAGCCAAATATTTGAGGAAATTAGAGTAATTTGGGATCCTGTCCAGTTTACAGATAGGAACAAAACCTCAAAACATCATGAAGGGTACTGGAATCCATAAAGGTGTATTACTGAAACAAATATTTCCCTCTAAAATCATCCTCATTTTTAACGAAGATAGCCAAATTAAGACTAATTTAATTACAAAATAAGTCTAGTTTCAGTAAATTTGGCCTAATTATTTGTGCAAGTTCAACAAGAATAGTAATTAACTCTATAGGTTCTTTTAAATCTGCTTTGCTGGACTTTTTTATAAGGAATCTCTAGATTGAACTTTTAATAGCCTCTTGAGGCCAGAAGAGCCAAGCAAAGGGCTTGATTACACTTCACCTACAGTATCTACAGGCTTGGGCGTAGTCCTCTCTCTTTGAGGTCCCCAAAAT